TCTAACCCTAAGGCCACCTCTTTCATATCATCATCTGATAGGTAATACTCACTCCCAAAGGAAGCAAACATCGTTGACTTCTCCTCATTTTTTCCTAACCATTCCATCAGCTCATCAAAATCACCTTCTCCATCATCCTTCATGGGCTCCTGAACTAATATACCAACCGACAAAATCTTGGAACCCCCTAATTCTTCACTCATGCGGTCTATATTCTCTCCTTCTAATTCCCCCTTGAGGAACTAATCAAAACCAAGTTATTCTTATTCTCTACGATCTTTTGGGATTCAGAATCTTCTTTCGTCCCGATCCCGTAGTACCTAGAACTTGTTAGAATGTAAACTTGATTTTGGGCTAAGTTAATAATTGATGTTTGTTGTAATGGGCAAAGCCCAAAATAATTAGGAGTGTTCTAGAGAGAAATGTTCTAGAAAGTTTCTAGAGTGTGAGACTTCTAGAGTCATTCTAGAGAATAATTAATAATAGAGTATTCTAGATAAGGAGAATTCTAGAGAACTCTCCACCATTTATTGTGGATGTGAGTAGTATAAATAGGTGTAGTTGTGCTCATTTGTAATCAAGCATCAAGCTAAGAAATCTTCAAGCAATAAAATACAAGTTCTCTCTTCTTCCATCCTCTCTTCTAGTTAGCTAAAAGCTTTTTCTACTTACACAATTATCTTCATAACGTCCTAAAATACTTAGCCTCTACCTCTAATATTCCAACAAATTGGTATCAGAGCCATGGCTAACGGGATGCAATCCTTTCAATTCCCTCGCCTAACCAAAGACAACTATAGTACTTGGTGCATCCGAATGAAGGCAATATTAGGTTCACAAAAGGTGTGGGATTTGGTGCTGAATGGCTACGTTGAACCGGAGGATGAAAGTACTCTTAGTGCACTCCAAAAGGACGCATTAGAGAAGGCTCGGGAGAAGGATCAAAAGGCAATGACTCTCATTCATCAATGTTTGGATGACAATCAACTTGTGAAGGTTGCAAATGCAACTACTTCGAAGCAAGTTTGGGAGATTCTTCAAAATACATATCGTGGAGTCGATAAGGTAAAACACGTTCGTCTCCAAACACTTAGAGGTGAGTTTGAGTCTCTTCAAATGAAGGAATCCGAGTCTATTTCTGATTATTTTGATAGAGTTGAGAAGGTAGTAGATGAACTAAGGAGGAATGGAGAAAATTTGGAAGATACAAGAGTGGTAGAAAAAATTCTTCGCTCTTTAACTCCAAATTTTGAGCATGTGGTAGTGGCTATTGAAGAATCACATGATATAGACTCGATGACTATAGACCAACTCAACGGATCACTAGTGGCCCATGAAGAAAAAATGAAAAAGAAGAAAGTGCAATATCCGTTGGAGCAAGCACTTTATACACAACTCTCACTCAAAAGAGGTGATGGTCAAAGAGGGCGAGCTAGGGGCCGTGGACGAGGTCGAGGCCGAGGAAGAGGACATGGTGAAAATCGCCAAGAACATGAAGAAGAGAAAAAACAACACCTCAAGCCGACAAGAGGTCATGGAAGAGGCGGTTACCAAAGGTATGAGAAATCACAAGTTAAATGCTATAATTGTGACAAATTTGGTCATTACGCTTCCCATTGCAAATCTAATTATTGTGAAGTGGAGGAAAAGTTTAACCCCATCAAGGATGAAGTTGATCTTACCTTATTGATGGCACATGATCTTAAAGAAAAAGAAAGAAAGAGTATGTGGGTGTTAGATACTGGGGCTAGCAACCACATGATGGCACATGAGTCAAAGGTATCGGTTGAAGGAAGAGGAAACATCTTAATCCGTCTAAAGGATGGTAGCCACCAATTTATTTCCGTTGTTTATTATGTGCCCAATCTCAAAAATAATATTTTGAGTTTGGGGCAACTTCTAGAAAAAGGTTATGACATCAATCTAAAAGATAATAATCTTTTTCTAAGAAGTGAAGGAAGATTAATAACCAAAGTGCCAATGACGAAAAATAGAATGTTTTTATTGGAGATTCAAAATGATGAAGCAAAATGCTTACATTCATGTTTAAAAGATGATTCTTGGTTATAGCATTTGAGGTTTGGGCACTTGAACTTTGGTGGCTTAAATTTATTATCAAGAACCAAAATGATTGATGGGATGCCAATGATAAATCATCCAAATCAATTGTGTGAGGGGTGTCTTTTAGGAAAACATGCAAGAAAAGGTTTTCCAAAAGAATCAAATTTTAGAGTTAAAAGGCCCTTGGAATTAATTCATGCCGATGTTTGTGGACCCATTAAACCAAGTTCATATGGAAAGAATAATTATTTTCTTTTTTTCATTGATGATTATTCTAGAAAAACTTGGGTCTATTTTCTAAAAGAAAAGTCGGAAGTCTTTGGGTCATTTAAAAAAATTTAAGGCCCTTATAGAAAAGGAAGTTCGGCATGAAATACAAGCCATGAGATCCGATAGAGGAGGTGAATTTACATCAAATGAATTTAATGAATTTTGTGAAAATAATGGGATTCGCCGTCCTTTCACGGTTCCATATTCACCACAACAAAATGGCGTGGTAGAAAGAAAAAATAGAACTATTCTTGAGATGGCTAGAAACATGCTAAAAAGCAAGAATATGCCAAAAGAATTTTGGGCCGAAGCGGTTGATTGTGCTGTGTATATTTTAAATCGTTGTCCAACTAAAAGTCTTGACAACAAGACACCTCAAGAAGCATGGCGGAAGAAGAAACCAAATGTTTCTCACCTTCGAGTTTTTGGAAGTATAGCATATGCTCATGTGCCAGATCAAAAACGCTCAAAGCTTGATGATAAAAGTGAGAAGTTTGTGTTTATTGGATACGATAAACACTCGAAGGGATATAAGCTATATAATCCAGTCACGAAGAAAATCATTGTGAGCCGAGATGTCCAATTTGATGAAGAAGCCTCTTGGGATTGGAGTGTTCAAGAAGATGAGAATTACAACTTCTTCCCGCTCTTTGAAGAAAATGAAGAACAAGAGGACCATGATGACCAAGCGGCTCAAGAACCAAACACTCCATCTCATTCACCATCCATCCAAGGAAGTCCACCAACCAATGATGAAGGCTCAAATGAAAGAACTCCCCGTTATAGAAGCTTACAAGAGATATATGAGGTAACACAAAATTTGGATGAAATAACTCTTGTTTGTCTTCTTAATGATTGTGAACCAATAGGTGTTCAAGAGGCGCTAGAAGACAAGAAGTGGAAAAATGCTATGGACGAGGAGATGAAGTCAATCATGAAGAATGATACTTGGGAGTTAGCTACGCTACCAAAGGGGCACAAGGCTATTGGCACTAAATGGGTATACAAAGCAAAGAAAAATGCCAAAGGAGAAATTGAAAGATACAAGGCAAGGTTGGTGGCGAAAGGGTACAAGCAAAGGGCCGGTATTGACTATGACGAGGTATTTGCTCCCGTTGTCCGCTTAGAAACTATAAGATTACTTATTTCAATTGCGGCTCAAAATAATTGGAGATTGTACCAAATGGACGTAAAATCGGCTTTCTTAAATGGTTATTTGGAAGAAGAAGTCTATTTGGAACAACGCCCAGGTTATATAATTAAAGGGCAAGAAAATAAAGTTTTAAAATTAAAGAAGACACTTTATGGATTAAAACAAGCCCCAAGAGCTTGGAATACTAGAATAGACAAGTACTTCAAAGAAAATGGTTTTCTAAGGTGCCCTTATGAATATGCCCTTTATGTAAAAACAAATGAAGATGGGGATATTTTGATTGTGTGCGTATATGTGGATGATTTGATATTCACGGGTAACAATCCAAGTATGTTTGATGCTTTCAAGAAAGAAATGAGTCGTGAATTTGAGATGACGGATATGGGACTTATGTCATACTACCTCGGAATTGAAGTCAATCAAAGTGATAGAGGAATATCTATTTCCCAAGAAGGTTATGCAAGAAAAATTCTTAAGAAATTTAAGATGGATGGGTGCAAGCCGATTGACACACCAGTCGATTATGGGACAAAATTCTCCAAGTTTGATGAAGGAGATAAAATAGATCCGACTATGTTCAAAAGTTTGGTTGGGAGCTTGCGCTACTTAACATGTACGAGGCCCGATATTCTTTTTGGAGTGGGACTTATTAGCCGCTATATGGAAGCTCCAACATCTATCCATATGAAGGCCGCCAAAAGGATTCTACGCTACCTAAAAGGTACGATTAGCTTTGGATTGACTTACTCATCTTCTAAAGAATATAAGTTGTTTGGTCATAGTGATAGCGATTGGGGCGGAGATATTGATGACCGTAAGAGTACAACCGGGTTTGTACTTTACATGGGGGATATGCCTTTCACATGGTCTTCAAAGAAGCAACCCATTGTGACACTTTCGACTTGTGAAGCTGAATATGTTGCCGCTACGTCATGTGTATGTCACATCATTTGGCTTCGAAGATTATTGAAGGAAATTCACATGCCGCAAGAAGATGCAACCGAGATTTATGTTGATAACAAGTCAGCCATTGCACTTGCAAAAAATCCCGTCTATCATGACCGAACTAAACATATTGATACTCGCTACCATTTTATTCGTGAATGTGTCGAGAATAAGGAGGTCCAAGTGAAGTATGTGGGGTCGCAAGATCAAGTTGCGGATATTCTTACAAAACCTCTCAAGCATGAAGACTTCAAGCGATTGAGAAGAATGCTCGGAGTTGGAAATCAAGTTTAAGGGGGGATGTTAGAATGTAAACTTGATTTTGGGCTAAGTTTATAATTGATGTTTGTTGTAATGGGCAAAGCCCAAAATAATTAGGAGTGTTCTAGAGAGAAATGTTCTAGAAAGTTTCTAGAGTGTGAGACTTCTAGAGTCATTCTAGAGAATAATTAATAATAGAGTATTCTAGATAAGGAGAATTCTAGAGAACTCTCCATCATTTATTGTGGATGTGAGTAGTATAAATAGGTGTAGTTGTGCTCATTTGTAATCAAGCATCAAGCTAAGAAATCTTCAAGCAATAAAATACAAGTTCTCTCTTCTTCCATCCTCTCTTCTAGTTAGCTAAAAGCTTTTTCTACTTACACAATTATCTTCATAACGTCCTAAAATACTTAGCCTCTACCTCTAATATTCCAACCGAACTTCTATATCTGGCATCAACTTCTGCAGTCATTTGAGCTGAGAGGTATCTGAAAGAGGGTAGGAATGTGGCTGCACCGGAAGTAAAGAACAGGACGGCCGGGACTTGGTGCGACTTGGCTACTGCGGCTGCGCACGGCTGCATAAAGTCATAGATCAGCAAGTCTGGTTTCATGGTCCTAAAGATGTCTGAGAAAGTGGGTTCGGCCATTTTTAGGGCTTTTTCAAGGGATGAGTTGAGATGAGGTGGAAGACCATTGGTGGTGTGGTAGTTAGAAGGGAGTTCTGGTAATTCTGGTAAGTGAAGCTCCACTAACTGGATTGAAGAAGAGTATTTCTGGGGGATCTTGTTTCTGATGAAACTAAGGTTGACAGGGGTGGAACATAGATGGATTGGGTGAAAGCCTCTATCAGACAGTTTCTTGGCTAACTCCAAGAATGGTGTGATGTGTCCTACAGCCAACCATGGGAACATCAACACTTTCTTCGTACCATTATTCTTAGAAACATTTTCTGCATCCATGATGAAATAGCTAAGCTAGTTTATTCAGGTTCTATGGATCTTATGTTCATGGTTGGGGATTGATATACATGTGGCAAGTCATGTAAAACCGAACAAACAAATGGATTCATGTGCGAGGTAAATTAGTAAGGTTATTACTTCTTGTAAGTTGCTACTTATAATAAGTTATAGAAATTGCCCAATATAGGAGTAAATATAAACATAATTGCACAAATAGGAGTAAAACTTAAAACTTCTTCAATAGGAGTAAACATTAATTTTGTACCCTTAATATCCCTAACCTAGTTAATTCTAAAATGTGACTTATTTAATCATAACCTAGTTAATTTATGACTTATTCGATAATAATAATTTATTTATTTATTTATTTTTCAAAAAATAAAAAAATATAAATTTTTTTAAAAAAATAAAAAAATCAAAAAAATAAAATAAAATTCATCGCCGCCTCTGCCGCCCAGCACCACCACCTTCAGTCACCAGGGGAAAAAATGTCAAGTTCATTACGAATGTCATATTTATGGCAGAAAACAATGAAAATGTTGGCATTCGCAAAGAGAAATATGTCATGTTTTTGGCATTTTCAGAAAAAGGCAGTTTTTAGGAAAAATGGATTTTTTTTCACCGCCCGGAGGTGGTAGTGCAGGGAGGTAGTGGAGGCGGTGGGAAAGACATCCATATTTTTTTTAATTTTTTTATGGAATTTTACTTTTTTTTTTAATTTTTTTTAAAAAATAAAAAAAATAAAATTTTTTTATTTTAATTTTTTATTTTATTAATATTTTATAAAATTTTTAATTATTTTTCTCGATTTTTTGAATTTTTTTCGAATTTATTATGAATTAAACATATAATTAAAAGTTGTTGGGGCTTGGGTAGGGGTATACTTGTCCAAACACTAAAGTTACTCCTATTCAAAACATGGTACTCCTATTTTTTCATTTTGCCTATGTTTTGCTCCTGTTTGGGGAATTCCTTCAATAAGTTACTATAATAGCACCCATGTGATGCACGGTGAGCTATATTATTCAAAGTAATTATTATCCCTTCTCATTTTATTTGTTTGTTTTGGTTTGTCACAATTATTGATTGAGTGGTTGAAAAAGAAAAAAAATATAGTTCATACGGAGTACGGAGTATTTGATTATAATAAAGTGAAATGTTGTGGACCATATATTAATTTCTAATAAATTAAAAGAAAAAAAAAAAGATGACACCCCATCCCTGAGGGCCCCTAAATTAAAAGAAATGTAAGACTTATTGTGTGACAATTCAAAAGGAAACAAAAGACTAGTAAAATGAACGACAGAAGAGTATTAATTAATGCACCTAATTCTGAAATGAGATAATGCAAGAGTACCTTTTATAATTAAAAGAATAAAAGGTAATACGCAATGTAAAAAATACTACTTAATGAGTTTAGTGTTAATTACCGCAATTTATACCCTGCAAACGGCGCACAATGAGGATGGTGCGCCCGGTTGCAAAACGACGCATCTTCAGTGGTAATAACTTTTTTTTTATTGTTAAAAATTGTAATAACTTTTTTATTTGATATCTGATTTTTATAAATTTTATATCAAATTTTTTTATTTTTCACGATCTATCAAATGAGACCAATATTGCTTATGTAATTTTAACAAATTATTTTGAAGTTACATTTGATAATATATCATGAAGTTACATCTTCTTCTGCGCGAGTTACATCTTATTGTACGCGAGTTACATCTTAATATACGCAAGTTACATCTTAATGTATGTGAGTTACACCATGAAATAAACCTCTGCTACATCTTTCATTTTTATCATTTGAAAAATAGTGTATGAATATGAAATACAATATACTTATTTTATGGGGATTAATAAAATTTTGTATTAAATTGGCAAAGAAAAAAATTAATTCAGTTATAATTGAATTAGTTCAAGATAAAGATAAGTAAAAAATCATAAATAATTAGATATAACTCACATATAATTACATTTAACTCGCGCATAAAAGTATGTAACTCATGTATAACAAGATGTAACTCACACATAATAAGATGTAACTCACACATAATTACATGTAACTCGCGCATAAAAGTATGTAACCCGTGTATAACAAGATGTAACTCACACATAACAAGATGTAACTCACACATAATAACTTGTAACTGGAGTATAAGATGATGTAACTTCGTATATTATCAAATGTAACTCCAAGCTAGAAGCAAAACAAACAAACTCAATATCTTAAAAACCTCTAAAAACATATAAAAGTGATAAAAAAAAATATACTATAGAAAAAATGTATGCATATAAAAATATATTACAAAAAAATGTATGAATGTAAAAAATTAAAACTACATAGGCAATATTGGTCTCATTTGAAAGATCATGAAAAATAAAAAATTTTGATATAAATTTTATAAAAATCGGATCAAAAATAAAAAAATTATTAGCAATTTTAAGAAAAAGAGATATAAAAAATAACAAAGGTGCATGGTGTTAATTACTACTTGAATGAATCCTATGTTGGATTGTAATAAGGATTTAAAAAATTATTAATTGCAAGACATCTTTCTAAAGTCTAAATGTCACGAGCAAATTTTGGTATAACTATAAAGTCGAATCTGATTTACTCTAATCTGAAACTAAATTAAATACAAATATAAAATGCCATTTATGTAAATTGTATTTAAAACTTGTTTTAGTCGCACTGAAACTAAATTGATATCAAATAGAAAATGCCATTTATGTAAATTGTATTTAAAACTTGTTTTAGTCGTATCGACTAGCCATTTACGTATTACAATCCTTTTATCATATCTTTAACAAAAATAAAATTAGATTAGGAATACTCACATCACATTCTACAAGATAGCTCTAATAATGTTATCATTTTTAGAAAGGAAAAATAACACTTTTAGTCCCTGAAATAGTCTTCATATTGAAATGTCAGACTCGTGTTTCCTAGTTTGTAAATGTCACCCCTCAATTGTCGAAATTGTTGTAAATGTGGTCCTTTGAGGGGTGAAATGTACAATGTGGGTGATGCGTACATTTTACCCCTCAAAAGATCACATTTACAACAATTTGGAAAATTGAGAGGTGGCATTTACAATCTCAGAAATACAGATCTGACATTTCAACATGGTGACTATTTCAGGGACTAAAATTGTGATTTTCACTTTTAGAAACATAACTTTAAAGTAGAATCCATTTGATTAGCTATGTTTTTGCCTCATTAATCTTATCAATCAATTATTTATTTATTTCACATATACGCCGCAACTTTTAATTGCGCACTAAATATATTATATATAATATTTGTTGAATTGTGTATGAATATTATTTATTAAAAGTAAATAAGTTTGAAGTTTATTTTTTGACCGAAAAGAATGAATTTTTTGAATAACGATATTTTAATTAAATATTTTCATATAATTTGTGTACTTTATTCATGAAATAAATTTTACACTCCGTATAATTTTTTCAAAATTCACTGCTTTAGCCAGAAGTTTGTATTTACGATGAATGTAGCCGATTCAATAAATTTCAAAGTTATCATATTAGCTCCAGATGCAATTATTCAAATAGTAATAACTGAAAAATTCAAACGACATAAGATTAAGGGAAAATCGCACATTTGACCCCTCAATTATCCACCAATTGAAATCCCAAACCTGTGTTTCAGGTTTTCTAAATTTCACCCCCGAGTTGTTCGAATAATTATAAATTTCACCCCCGAGTTGTCCGAATAATTATAACGGCACGGGTGACATTTATAATTATTCGGACAACTCGGGGGTGAAATTTATAACGGCAGGGGTGACATTTATAATTATTCAGACAACTCGGAGGTGAAATTTAGAAAATCTGAAACACGGGTTTGAGATTTCAATATGGTGGATAATTGGGGGGTCAAATGTGCGATTTTCCCTAAGATTAATCTAAAAGACAAGTCAGATGAGATAAAACAAAATTCAAATATAGTTTGAAGTATTCAGTATTCACAAACAAAGTTACTAAAATTCAAATCTTACACGTTCAATTAAGACAAAAAGAAGTGCCACAAAAGGAGAAGGTTCCTAGTGTTGAAAGTTACTGAATTACTCTTAAAGTCACGAAATTTGTTATGAAAAAGTTTAAAATATTCACTTTATACTGTTTTTGAATGTTACTGAATTACTCTTAAGTCAAGAAATTTGTTATGAAAAAAGTTTAAAATATTCACTCTGATGGAGTATATGGCCCGGGAACTCCCGGTCCACAGACTTCCACTACTCCAATAAAGACCCAATAGGTCCAGGAAGCACAACAGGCCCAAATCACGGCGCCCAAGGTACCAAGTAGCCCGCAACGCGCACCAGGGGGAGCCTTCGGCCCCTTGGCCGAAGGCTCTAACTCTCACAGAAGGGCCAAGACAGAAAAACAAAGTTACTGGGAAGAACGGCGAAAATCAGTAGCCCTCGGCAACTGGAGCCCTCGGCACTAGGGGGTCCCCTGTACTCAGAGCCCTCGGCTAATCATCTACAGCCGAGGGCGCCTTTTCTGACATAATATCCGCTCCACATGCGTATGGATCACCGTACCAAGTACGACGTCCCATCCAACAGCCGCATTAAATGCGGCCACATGCGGTTGCCAGCGCCAACCACTTGAGGTGACCTCTCGGCCAATGGGCGCTTGACACGTGTCCCTGTCCGGCATTTATTGCTACTATAAATAGCACCTCATTTCCCCGTTGTAAACCATGCTAAAAACGCTGAACACTTTCTAATATACTTCTCTCTCTATACTCATTTGCTCTGACTTCTCTCTTGTTATTCCCCGTAATAACCCCTCGGATAAGCTACCCCCCGGGTACACTATCCATCATTTGGTGCTCTCGTTGAGAGGTCGAACAATCAAGTAAGAAACCCTCCCCCTCGACCAAACACAAAACACCTAGCTAAAATGGTGAGAACAACTCGTGCCAACTCCAAGTTAGTCATCGGCCAAATCTCCGGGGAGTACGAAGCCAAGGAAGGGAGAATGAAGCAATACAAGGAGGCGGCCAAGGAGTTGCTTAAGGTATTTGAGGCACACTCTCTTACTCAAATATCGAGGGTTCAAAACTCCGAGGCTGACATTTTATCAAAGCTCTCGGCAGAATCCCCTGAGCATATCTTGAAGATTGCCAAAGTGGAAGAACTCAGCCTCTCTAGCATACATGCTAGCCCCGTCATGAAAATACAACAAAGACAGGAGGACTGGATCTCGGACATTGTTGCCTTCATCACCACAGGGCAACTGCCCGAGGATGAGGCCCGCGCCAAGCTGGCAAAGCTGAGGGCTCCCAGCTACGCTATCGAGGACGGAAGGCTCTACAAAAGGTCCTACAACGGGACATTACTTCGGTGCCTTCATCAAGATGAAGCCGAAGTAGCGATGGAGGAGGTGCACAGTGGCACTTGCTCAGCTCACCAGGGGCCCTTCTCCATGTCCCGAAGGCTATTAATCCAGGGCTACTTCTGGCCTACGATGGCCCGGGATTGTGCAGATCTTGCCCGGAGGTGTCCCGCATGCCAACACTTCCAGAAAGCCCCCGGCAGGCCAGCGGTCAACTATGCCCCCATCAGCACATCCATACCCTTCGCTCGATGGGGAATAGACCTTGTAAGCCCTCTGCCGAGGGGTACCTCCAACAACAGATACATCATCGTCGCCATCGATTACTTCACCAAATGGGTGGAAGCTGAGCCCCTCGCCAACATCACTGAGACCAGGTGCCGTCATTTTGTTCTCAAAAACATCCTCACCAGGTTTGGCGTCCCTCAGCAAATCATCTCCGACAATGGATATCATTTGTCAGGGAGCGTGTTTCTCATGGAGACCTTGTAGTACGCTATGTTCCTACATAGTTTCAGCTAGCTGATATCTTCACCAAGTGATTATCTCCTCAACGGTTTATTTTTCTTAGAGACAATCTGCGTGTTGTTTCTCCTGCACAGATTGAGGGGATGTAATAGAGTATTTATTATTTAGAAGTTTCCTTGTATTAGGATTCCTTTTATATTATGTTTCCTAATGTACTCTAAACACTTCTCTATATAATATACACCCAGAGCTACCATATTAGGTAAGCCATTCCATTATTCACACACATAGGAGATAGTCCTGACGAACAGCTTCTTCCTCATCTTAGCGCATCGTCCTTCCTAATATCTTCCAAATTTCAGGATCATGAACTTCATGAACTGAATCATTTCCATCACTTTTACGGTTTTACCATAGCAAACAGCTGAAGCAAGGGAATGGTTACATGATGCTTCACTAAAACCTGGTCAGCACCAAGTGCTACCACCCCTACAGAGAATAAAAAGTCAACTTCAGGACTGTAAGTCTCATTCTTCACATCAGCAACCCAGGAAGATAAGACAGAACTCAGCCCACTGCCATCAGGCCTCCTCCATGTGCACAAGTCTTCTCCCAGCAACTGCCTCTCGTGCCCTTCTTCCATTGTCTTATGATTAAGAATGTACAATATGATTGTTGTCTCCATTGCAGGTTTTCCACATTGTTTATTACCAAAGATCACATCAATCCAATAGTTAAGATTTGAGCTAACATATTCACTTTCAAAGGTCACCCTGTGCTTGATTATAACTCCTTTCAGAAAACTATTAACCCCTCGAAGGATCACCATATCACCTATTTGCTCTCCATTTTGTTTTGGACTTGGTGTTCCAACTGGTTTTGCAAAATCCCGATAAGTAGACGGTTTGATCAAAACCAGAGCTTCTATTGGACCATCAACCAGAACCCAAGGAGACACATGACACTCAGTTAGCTCATAAAATCTTCCAACAAATGTGTTGAAAGCCATCAAGTACTCGACATTTGTATTTTCTTTTCTCTTCCAACCTTCCCTAGAGATTTCACCTGACTGGTATACAAGAGAAAACTCATCAACCCCTTTTAGTCCCGAATCAGATGAGTCCCGAATTGCAGAAAATATCAAACTGTATCCCTTAATTGTCATCCTTTTTTCCTTGCTAACTTGCCCCGAAATAATACAACACCTTCACCCTTAATGGTTTGGTTATGACTGTCACCCATTTCCCAATCCTTCTCTATTGTTCTGAATATCTTGATCCCCTTTAAACTAATTATCAAGGCTGGTGTACTAGCCATGTGCAACAAGTCAAACATCAGAAACATGTCAGTATAACCATCAGTAGTGTAACCCCCCTTTTTCTTCCAATGTCCAGTCCTACTTACTTCCAGTTTGTTTTCAGTTACTGCAGTGCCGAACAAACAATACCCCTCTCCATTCTCTTGCTTATTCCTGATGATGGATTTGAAAGAAGCTTGATTTCTGCTGAAGTTGGTATCTCCCTGAAGCTTCATTGCTTTACCCTTTTCCTTCCATTTGATAGTCAACTGAGTGAAATTAAATTCAACATTTCCTAAACCTGCTAACCAATCCAGCCCCAAAACTATCTCATTTCCCCCCACTTCGAATTCTAAGACATAAAAGTCTTGAACGATGGTAGTTTGTTGTATGTTAAGAAAAACAGCTTCACATCTCCCATTGTTTTTGATTATGTCTCCATTTCCTATCTTCACCTTGAATTCTGGAATCTGGAAGATAGGTAGGCCTGCTGCTTGAACTACCTTATGAGATATAAAATTATGGGTGGCCCCATAGTCAATCAGAATGATTATAGTTTTACCCCCTGGCTGCTCCTTAACTTTCCCTTCATTTTAAGTCTTAGGAGTTGTGATTCCTTCCTTGCTCAGGAGAGATAACTGCATAGTAGAGAGGTCTGTTTCTTCCATTAGTGAAGCAGGTTCTATAATATTACTCTCAGATTCCTCCTCCTCTTCAGATTCATCTAACATGACGATCTGGAAGTGTTTTATCTTACAGATATGATCTTTTCCCCATTGCTCCCCACATTTAAAGCAAAGACCCTTCCTACTTAACTCCTGCAATTCAGATTGGGACAATCTATGTGTTCCCCTCACTGCAGCACCTTTATTAATTACATCATGGTTCTTCTCCAAGGCAGATTTCTCAGGATTGGTCTGGTTACTCAGATTATTCTTCCACTTTTTCTCATTTAACCATCTATGAGAGTTTGTTGAGACATTCACCCTCTCCTTCAATCCTCTTTTATCATCCTCCTTGTACCTGCTTATATTCAAGGTATGGTTCCTTTCTTCTACCATTAAAGCCTTATCCATTAACACCGCAAGAGTTCTAACAGGATTCAGCTTCAATTTAGCCCTTATTTCAGGCTTCAATCCTTTCAGAAATATTCCTTGAGAATCTTCACATCAGGCTTCAATCAGTTCAAATTGCTCCCTATAGTCCATCACACTACCTGTCTGTGTTATACTCAATAAAGGACCATACGGATCCTGTAACAATCCAGGTTGAATTCTATGAATCAAATCATCTTTAAACTGTTCCCAACTTCTCACATTAACATGTTCCTCCCACCATTGAAACCAGTTTAAAGCCTTTTCTTCCATAGTAAGAGTAATCAATTCAACTTTCTCATCTTCTGCTATACGATTCATTTTAAAAAAACGTTCCACTTTAATAGTCCATCCGTAAGCATCATGACCATTAAAAAGTGGTAGATCTACCTTTCTTCCAGATCTCTTAATCCACTTATTTGAATCATCCTCGCGCCTAGAAGATGAGGAGCGATCATTACCTTCAGACGAATAGGATTCACGACTATCATTCCTCGCGCTTCTCCTGATCGTTTTAGACCTTCCACGTGAATCGCGATCATTCCGCTGCAAAATTAGCTCGTGCAATTCTTCGTTGTCACGTTTTGCTTCCTCGCAACTTTTCTCCAGCTCGCGCTCCAGATTTTCCAGCCTTGCTTCCATCGTTCCCCTTGTAGCAACCATGTACAGGCTACAATAGAATTGAACAGAATGTATGAACAGTCTCAGGAAGGTCGTTATTGACAGAAAAGAGAGAGAAAGTATCCGGCAGTTTAAAGAGAGCCACTCTCCAAGTCCAGTCCAACCAAACAATACCAGCCTCCCTCTTTATTACAATAGCTATCTATTTATAGTATTTCCCTAGCCTTCTATAAGTACATAGCTATTTAATATTCCTCTTCCTCCTTTAGAGTACACTTGTTTATAATAGTCAACACTATTATTATTAATGGGCTGACTCCCTGTGTCTCTATCATCCACTGTTTGATTTTAGTTACTTAAACATCTAAATTTATTGCTTGGTAGGAGTACCTGATTTTAACATTTATTAGTTTTGCTTGTATTTGTGATGTATATATAGCGATCCATATTCTTTTCAAACAACTTTTTTATGACTGTAAGGCAGATTCTTCGCCACACATTAACTTATTCCACTGTCGAATCAAATAATGATGGAAACACATGTTAATTTAGTTCCTTAATTGACTTCCTTTATTCCACACAGATTCTTTTATTATAATTGTAATTTAATAATGAATGGTAATATATGATCAGGGGAAGGGCTGGAAGCCATTTTGAGTCAAAATTTTGTCAACAAAAGGGGAGAAGAAATAAGGAGCCTCCTTAAGGACTTGCTCTTTACGGCACTGTGTCCTTACAAGGATTACTTCCGCCTCACAGACTTCATCTAACACGCTGGTCATCAGCCATTCCTTGCACGACTTGTTCATGTCCTCGATATCAACATCGCAGTCCGATTTCACTGCCAGCTTTCTTGCGCTGCGTTTGGCTGCTGCAACCATGGATATGGACATCCAAACAACGAAACACAAAAACATGATACTTCCACCTTCTCTCTTCATTCTGCCTTTGTTAAGTAAAGAAAATTCATTCCCACTCATGCCCCTCACCGTCTGGGAGAGAACCGCCGGCCACCATCTACGGCGACACCACCTCCGTTGTCGCCGCCTCGCACTCTCCATCAACTCTCCTAGAATTTAATGTTCTTACTAAAGCATTCCTCAACGCAGTCAACCGTCGCTGGGACGCTCAAATGTTGTGTGTCAAGCGCCGGTCTGCCCGGTCTGCCTCTGGACATCGCCGGAGTGGTCACAGCTAATTGTTCTCTTCTTCTTCTTTTCGTCTATTACTTTTCCTTCGCGTGAAGTTGGCAGCTGATTGCGTTTTTCTTTTTGATTTCTTCTTTTTCATTCGATTTCCCTTTTAATTGTTTTTTTTTTTACTTTCTTTTCTGAGCACACGCAGCGCTTCAGGTAGCACATATTGGTGGGCCGTGTTTGTTAATTCACGCATAGATGCCTGTAAATGCTTCATCCTCATCCTCATCCCATTATGGAGGTATTGAAGACCATGTTCAATTTGAAAATAGTTGGGAAAAGGACTCAAATAAGACTTGAACACAGCATGAGAATCTAAATAGTAATTGTATAAACAATGTCACGTGTTATAAATTTAACAATGTCACAATGTTAAAATTTCATACATGTTAAAAGTCAATGTCATTATATCACAATATAATACGATGTCATTGTTTAAAAATCAATGTCATTATATGATAATGTAATACGATGTCATTATTTAAAAATCAATGTCCATTGTATGACAATGTAATACGATGTCATTGTTTACAAATTAATGTCATTATTTTACAAATGTCAATGTTTTTTTGTTAAACGTTAACAAAATAAATACTCTCAATATCGCAAATATTGTCAAAATTTATGAAAACGTCACAATGTCAAAAAAATGTCACAATTTCGTATAGTGATGATGTCAATGTTATAAAAATGCCACTAAAATGACACAATGAAAATGACATTGTCGTGACAATGAAAATGACATTGTCGTGACAATGTCAATGACATTGTCGTGACAATGTCAATGTAGCCTGGACGTTATCAACTCACTCGTTCATGCACTTTAAATAAGCTGTCCATGATTTTCCTCAACTAAAAATGTAAAACATGGAGATTTTTTTCACATAGGCATTTTATCAAATAGTTTTGGTGCAAAACAAAAATTGAGTGATGCATACATTAAATGGAACAACTACCCTCTCCATTAGTCCAAGACATGAAAAATTGAAATAGAAAAAAGAGAGGATGGAAGGAAAAGGTGGGGGTAGAAATAAATCTCAAAAAAGAAATGACAATTGAAAAATAAAATAAAATACAAAAAGGTTTGACATTTCAAAGCAGCATCCTCGATTCATCATGTCTGCTTCTAGAAAAAATAGCCAATGCGCGCAGCGAACAAAAAAGCAGGGAGAAGAAGAAGAGATTTGTTTCCCTGGCGGCGCCCTACACCTAGTCTTCGTCGTTTTCGTCATCGGCTCGTATCCTTGCTGCCTACAAAACAATTCATCGCGACAATCTTTCTCTCCAAGCGCCGGCGGTTCCTCTGGTTCTCTGCTCAGTCCCTAATCTTCCATTACAATGGCAACTTCGAAACTTCTTTCTATTTCATAGAATTTGTAGCCATTGCTTTGATGTTCAACAGTTCCCCCAAAATGGAAAAATTTTCCATACGATGAACTGGACCTGCCGGAGCAATCACGTGACCACCGTCACCAATTGGATCTGATTCGCCACAGTGAAGCTCATCGAGGAGCTCCATATACTAATCGACGGAGAAGTACAGGCTTCCGCCACAACTCTTCCGGAACAATCACCTTGAGAGGTGGAGGAGCGCAGATGATTGCCGCCGCTGCCGCTGGGTGCGTTGTTCGGCCAAGGTTTCGCTGAAGCATGTTGTATGTGGCTGTTTGTCACGAACAGGGAGGATAAGAGAAAGGAACCGATTGCCAGGGGATGAGATATTAGGGGCAATTTTGGAAACATCTTAAAATTAGGTCATATTTAGAAGTAAAAAAAGTCAAGATCTTACTTAGGTATATACGGAAACTTAAGGTCCTATCTGGCACCATTTCTCTTAACTCATGATACACTACAAATATCCTGATAATTACTTATTAGAAAATATTCTTTAGTGCACACTATTTTATACGAGTAATATATAGACATGTAGACGAATTATGAACACATACTCCGTATAATCATAACAACAGTAAAATGTGCTTTTCTGGGTGTTAAGTTTGTCACTACATCACTCCATCAGTAGATCATTTTAATTGTCACAAAAGGCTTAATTTAATTTTCACATAATTTAAGATGTTAAGACCCGAAATTCCATCCTAAAAGGTCAACTTGATAGGAGGATTAATCCAGATTTTAATCTAGAACTTAATTCCTTCACAAATTTCCGGTGTGGGAATTCACTTCACTAAAAATAGAACACTTTTGGTACTGTAGCAGTATTATACTATATTTTATTAAAGTGTATTTTTTATTAAAGTGCATTGTAACTTCTATAGATTAATTTAATTGAAATTGCACAATATAAGACCAAAGCATGTTTCAAAATGCATAAATAGGACAAAATACATTTGATTTATTCCCTAAATAGGACTTATTTAGTCCTATTAAAAGAAGGAATTGATTAAAACTTCCTAAAATAGGCGTGAACATTACAAAAAATCAGGGGGGTTGTCACAGATTTTGTCACGGCCCACAGTTCAAAAAATTCGTGACCAAACATTTTTGTCACGAATTTTGTCACGGCCTATATCCGTGACAAAATGGGCGTGACAAAGTTTTTGTCACGGATCCGAATCCGTGACAATTTTTTTCACGGATTAGTCACGAACATTTTCCGTGACAAAATGGTCACCAGAGCATTGTGCCGGTTCATATTTGTCACGGAATTATCCGTGACAAAGTATTTTTTGTATTTTTTATTTTTAGAAATGGGTTGGGCGAGGAATAAAAAAATTTGAAATTTTCATTTCGTCACAGATAGAATCCGTGACAAACATTTTATAGTTTAAAAAAAATTGATTTTTTGTCACAAACATAATCCGTGAAAAAACTTTTTTATTTTCTTAAAAAAAAATTATTTATCAAATTTAGTTGGGAAAAACTATTAAAAAAAACGTTGAATTTAAGTTGGTGTCCCAATGACCCAAATTCTTTCATCTCGTCGATAAGGGGTTGAAGATAGATGTCTATCCTTTTTTTAGGATCCAAGGGACCTGGACAAATTAAAGTCAAAAAGATGAAATGACTTTTCATGCACATGTCGGGAGGTAGATTATAAGGAGTTAACATGATTGGCCAACATGAAAATTTATTCCCAAACTTTCCAAAAGGAGCAAATCCGTCTGAACACAATCCCAGTCGCACATTCCGTGGCTCCATTGCAAACTGAGGATGACAACGGTCAAAGTGTCTCCAAGCTTCACAGTCTGAAGGGTGAGACATCAAACCCTCTTTGGTTTCGTGCTCAACATGCAATGTCATGTGTTTCACAGTAGCATTTGAAGCATATATCCTCTTTAGACGTGGAGCTGGTGAGAGGTAAAACAATTTAGACAATGCAGACCTTTTTCGTGTTTTTTTCTTTGAGGAACATGTTTGTATCTGTTTCGACCACACAACTTGCAGCTCTCAAGTGTCTCATCATCCTTCCAGAACAACATATTTATCCTTAAGGGCACACATCAATTTCTATACAAGGAAGCTCTAACTGAGAAATGAATTGCTTCATGTTGTAATATGAATCGGGAAGACCGTGGTCACGCGGTAGTATTCCTCCAATTGACGGCAACAGTCTAGACATGCAAGTTTCAGGGAGACTGTATCCAGCTTTAATGTTCATCAACTCTGAAACGGCGAATAGCTAAGAGTATCCCTCACAATCAACATACAAAGATTTCGGATCTTGTATGTTGAGTAACATCTTCAAATAATCTCTCAGCTAAACCTTCAATGAGGAACATGAGAATTTGGATCTTCATCCACATCAGGTTGATAAAAGATCAGATTTTCATCCGCATATGGTTGATACGAGGTCGAGGCTTCAGGAGGATCGTTGAATGGTTGTGGAGGGTTAAACAGAGACGTCGAGCAGAGCCGGCTATAGGGCCTAGGAACATAGGCATATGCCTAGGGCACCCATAGCATGTGAGGCACCATCTTAAAAAATTACTACCTATTTAATTGTTTTAAATTATATGAAAATATATTCTTGTAAAATAAATTTTAAACATATACATAACAAAAATATTGAATATGTATTTATTACAAAAATTATTCTTTATAAAAATATATTTAATAAAATAAATTTGGCTTTGAGTTGTCTCTTTAACTCTTATTAAGAATTTAAGACGAAAAAATTGATAGGTCGGTAAAAATAAAACATTGTTTCTCCACATCACACAGAATTGATAGGTCAGTAAAAAAATTGCTAGACCTTCGGGTTCTTGGACTGGATTTTGCTGTCCATGGGGCCTTATTTGGCTTGGCGGGCAGCACCTTACGAGAGGTTTTTGACTCGTTAACGGGCTGGCCTTTCATGGGCCGGTAATCTTTGTTACTTGAAGTTTTGATGGCGGGGCCTGTCCCGTCGTTTGGACTTTTCCATAAAAACTCTCTCTCAATCCTATCCTTCACAGGGTGGGGGGTGGGGGGGGGGGGGGGTTGAATAGTTTGATAACTATTTTAGTTAGATTACTAGCTTTTATAGTTTTGATGCATTGTAATAATGTTATTTTGGGTGATTTTTAATATGCTTACCTTTCATCCAAAAATTGAGGTAAATGATTAGAATGAGAACAGAAATATTGATGTAAATAATGACAATGAAAAAAGAAATATGAATGTAAATGACACTAATAATTAAATATCAAAATATATAGATTGTAAAAATGAGAAAGACAACGATTCAATTGAAACTGGATTTAGAGTTTCTTCAAATTAAAGTTATTATGACTCAAGAAATTAGACACTAATACACTATGTATGACTAGAAAAATATTTTTCTTAATTAGTTTTCGCCTGGCGCATCAAAGTCCCTAAAGACGGCCCTAACGTCGAGGCACCGTATACATCATATACCATTTTTTGGTCCCAGTTCATTTGAGCATAGTCTCCCCACCCACTCATCTCGTTAGGGACATTACGAGACGAACCTACTGTTTGTGATAAAAGTGATGGATCGAAAGGTTCGCCATGAGAAGACCAATTATAGCAATTGTCAATGAAACCTTGTTCGTACAAATGCCACACAACCTCGTCGGTGTCTTTAAATTTGAGATTTTTACACTTGGTACATGGACATCTGATTTTACTACCACCCATATAGTTAGGTTGTTCAAGTGCAAATTCAATGAACTCCTGAATTCCATCAAGAATTTTGGCTCGCATTGCGTACAAATCGGCATGTTTATCATACATCCAACTTCTATTTTGTCTATACATTATGCCTGAATATTATAATCAAAAAGTTATATTGGTTAAGAACTATAAATTATAAACATTAACAATAATTTGTTATGTTTAATATATTCACTAATTAATATTTAGGAACATTAATATATTAAATTTCAATAAAGTTCACTACAATTAAGTAACGTTCAATTAATATTATTAATTAACTAAAAGCAATACGTTTGCGACATTAATCATTTCAATTAACTAACTTTTGAATCATAACTAATTAATATTT